TAAGGAATACATAGGAAACATTGGCATCACATGTTAAGCGAGTTACATGCTTTATCTTACTTAATTCTCAGGAGAACATGAACAGGTAGATTGTTTCAACTTCTTTTTACAGAGGGTGAAGGAGAAGTTCACAGAGCTTAAAGCTTTCCAAAGATGACACATCCCCCAGGGCTCAGAACTAGTATTGACTTAGTACTGACCTCAGGTCCAACCTGGTTGACCTTTGTTGTCTGCCTAGCCAACTTCTTGGTTAGTCAAAAATTTGATCTTATGATTCTCTAAAATATTTGTGCTTGATCTCTATTATAGATTAAGACCAGAATTTTGCATCTTTGGAAAGAGATGTCCATGGAATCGGTAATGGGACAATTGTACAAGGATTCATCTTGGAGGGGTTTCCTGCTGTCTAGCACCTGGGGAAGGTCCTCTTCCTGGTGCACCTGCTGGCATACCTGGCAGCTCTTGTAGCAGTGTCGTCATAGTGAGCATCACCTGTGCTGACTCCCGTCTCCATACACCCATGTACTTTTGCCTCAGCATTTTCTCCTTCTTGGAGTGCTCCTGCATGACTGCTGCTAATCCCAAATTGTTGGTCATATTTCTTTTAGGCAAACAAAAGATTTCCTTTGTTGCCTGTTTCATACAAGCTTCTGTCTTTGTATTTCTGGGAGCAGTAGCTTTCCTCCTCCTAGCAGTGATGTCTCTGGACCGGTATGTGGCCATTTGCAGGCCTCTGCGTTACCCGACCATCATGAACCTGAGGACTTGTTTCCTGCCTGGTCACTTCCTCCTGGTCTCTGGGCTTCAGTCTCATCACTGGTCTGGTGGTGAAAGTCTCCCAGTTATAATTCTATGCCCCCATGTCATCCCTCACTTCTGTGGCCCTTTGCCTCTGACCCACCTCTCCTATTCTGACATCAGGCCTGTTGAAATGTCGACCTTTGTCTTTGCTTCGTTCATCCTTTCGAAATTCCTTATCAAAACCGTCGCTGCATACAGCAACATAGTAGTGATGATGGTGCATCTTCCACCAGCCAAGGGGCCACAGAAAGCTTTCCCTACCTACTCATCTTACCTCATTGTCTTCCTTCTCACGTGCAGCAGCTGTGTTTTTATATATGTGAAACCTAAGCAGAAATACAGGCTGGACTCCAACAGGGAAGCTGTGCTTGTGAACTCAGTGGTGACCCTGCTGCTGAATCCTGTCATCGTCACTCTACGGAATAAGCAGGTCCATCAGGCTCTGAAGAAGACAATGTGTAGAATGAAAAAATACCAGGATAAAACAATCACATGGTCTTGGAATGGAAGGCTTCAGAAAACCACTGGTCTTCATTCTGGTCAATGTAATAGTTCACAGAGTTCCTAGTGGAGTGTCTAGGCAGATCTCTACCTATTTTGCACTATGCTAGAAAAAGGGAAATCTTTATTTTTTCATTGCGTTATTTTACCTTGCTTTGCATAACTGTCTTCCCACAAATATTCCACATAATTATGACACGTTTTTAATTGGCAAATCCTTTATTGAACTTTATGCTCCCTCTGATGTGAACTATTTGAAATATCCAAAATTTAATGATCTACAGCCATTTCATTTCTATCAAAAAAAGATGGTTCAACAGAATTAATAACTATTTACTGAAAGGTTTTTAAATATTTGAAATGATGGAGTGTTGCATATCAGGTTGTAGTGTGAAGAAATGATGGAAATTGTACCAATGCCTGGTTCCACATTTCTACCTGCCTAGCCCAAGAAATTGATGGACACAGTATCCTTCATCTTGGGTTATATATGGTTTGTTTAAAGTGTCCTCCTACACGCTGCTCTTGGCTCTGGACTTACCCTATACCCGTATGCATCATTCTCATGCTAGAGAGAAATAAACTCTTTTTAATCTTGTACCATTCTCTAAGTACAGGGATAACCACAGCCTCCCATGCTGATCAGTGCTCCAAAGTTTCTGAATTATGGTTTCCAGATCCAGCCCAGCAGAGGCATAAGCATATTTGTGATGGTTTCTTAACCTACTAGCTGTTACTATGGAATGTGTATGTATAACTCAGTGATCAGCATAGTACCAAGCATTAGTAATGCCCTTAATAAAGGAGGAGGATGACATTGGTGATTGGACCATGGGACTTTTGCATATTTAAAAGCGTATTCAAAGGATTATTACAAATATTATTGTTATGTTTATTTAAAAATTCCTAATATAGAACCCAGTAAAATGTTTTATAACTATGCAAATGTCAATAACCCTGTCTACTGATCATGCTCTAGTTAAGACTATTACTAGTGACACTAATTTTTCAATTTGACTTAAGGAATACATAGGAAACATTGGCATCACATGTTAAGCGAGTTACATGCTTTATCTTACTTAATTCTCAGGAGAACATGAACAGGTAGATTGTTTCAACTTCTTTTTACAGAGGGTGAAGGAGAAGTTCACAGAGCTTAAAGCTTTCCAAAGATGACACATCCCCCAGGGCTCAGAACTAGTATTGACTTAGTACTGACCTCAGGTCCAACCTGGTTGACCTTTGTTGTCTGCCTAGCCAACTTCTTGGTTAGTCAAAAATTTGATCTTATGATTCTCTAAAATATTTGTGCTTGATCTCTATTATAGATTAAGACCAGAATTTTGCATCTTTGGAAAGAGATGTCCATGGAATCGGTAATGGGACAATTGTACAAGGATTCATCTTGGAGGGGTTTCCTGCTGTCTAGCACCTGGGGAAGGTCCTCTTCCTGGTGCACCTGCTGGCATACCTGGCAGCTCTTGTAGCAGTGTCGTCATAGTGAGCATCACCTGTGCTGACTCCCGTCTCCATACACCCATGTACTTTTGCCTCAGCATTTTCTCCTTCTTGGAGTGCTCCTGCATGACTGCTGCTAATCCCAAATTGTTGGTCATATTTCTTTTAGGCAAACAAAAGATTTCCTTTGTTGCCTGTTTCATACAAGCTTCTGTCTTTGTATTTCTGGGAGCAGTAGCTTTCCTCCTCCTAGCAGTGATGTCTCTGGACCGGTATGTGGCCATTTGCAGGCCTCTGCGTTACCCGACCATCATGAACCTGAGGACTTGTTTCCTGCCTGGTCACTTCCTCCTGGTCTCTGGGCTTCAGTCTCATCACTGGTCTGGTGGTGAAAGTCTCCCAGTTATCATTCTATGCCCCCATGTCATCCCTCACTTCTGTGGCCCTTTGCCTCTGACCCACCTCTCCTATTCTGACATCAGGCCTGTTGAAATGTCGACCTTTGTCTTTGCTTCGTTCATCCTTTCGAAATTCCTTATCAAAACCGTCGCTGCATACAGCAACATAGTTGTGATGATGGTGCATCTTCCACCAGCCAAGGGGCCACAGAAAGCTTTCCCTACCTACTCATCTTACCTCATTGTCTTCCTTCTCACGTGCAGCAGCTGTGTTTTTATATATGTGAAACCTAAGCAGAAATACAGGCTGGACTCCAACAGGGAAGCTGCACTTATGAACACAGTGGTGACCCTGCTGCTGAATCCTGTCATCGTCACTCTACGGAATAAGCAGGTCCATCAGGCTCTGAAGAAGACAATGTGCAGAATGAAAATACCAGGATAAAACAATCACATGGTCTTGGAATGGAAGGCTTCAGAAAACCACTGGTCTTCATTCTGGTCAATGTAATAGTTCACAGAGTTCCTAGTGGAGTGTCTAGGCAGATCTCTACCTATTTTGCACTATGCTAGAAAAAGGGAAATCTTTATTTTTTCATTGCGTTATTTTACCTTGCTTTGCATAACTGTCTTCCCACAAATATTCCACATAATTATGACACGTTTTTAATTGGCAAATCCTTTATTGAACTTTATGCTCCCTCTGATGTGAACTATTTGAAATATCCAAAATTTAATGATCTACAGCCATTTCATTTCTATCAAAAAAAGATGGTTCAACAGAATTAATAACTATTTACTGAAAGGTTTTTAAATATTTGAAATGATGGAGTGTTGCATATCAGGTTGTAGTGTGAAGAAATGATGGAAATTGTACCAATGCCTGGTTCCACATTTCTACCTGCCTAGCCCAAGAAATTGATGGACACAGTATCCTTCATCTTGGGTTATATATGGTTTGTTTAAAGTGTCCTCCTACACGCTGCTCTTGGCTCTGGACTTACCCTATACCCGTATGCATCATTCTCATGCTAGAGAGAAATAAACTCTTTTTAATCTTGTACCATTCTCTAAGTACAGGGATAACCACAGCCTCCCATGCTGATCAGTGCTCCAAAGTTTCTGAATTATGGTTTCCAGATCCAGCCCAGCAGAGGCATAAGCATATTTGTGATGGTTTCTTAACCTACTAGCTGTTACTATGGAATGTGTATGTATATTAGGGAATACTTATTCCATATTTGCATGATTTCTTCCAAAGTTTTGATGTGATGGAATCTAAATTATTTGCCAATCTATTTTATATTATTAATGAAAATAATTTAAACAAACAAAGTTTTTCCTGGTGGACTGTGGTTGTCAAGTATAAGGCTATGTTCTGATAAATAAGCTGTTTTAAAATCAACATTTCCATTATTGCCATCCTTAACCTTTTTGTGCCTTTAACGTCTATATCCAAGAGACATATATATCTCTTTTTCTACACAGCAGATACATTTAAAATACTAACACAATTTTTCTTTTACTTTGTTTGGTTTTTAACCCACATGGTGAGATTAGATATTCACAAACACATTTTATGAAATAGATTCTACAGCACAATGGGATCAGCCTGAAAAGTTGTGTTACAAAGTTCATATTTCATCTTATTGACAAGGAAGTATCAAATATGTTCTGAAAAATCAGATGTATTATGATTAGCTACATATTATACTGCATAGCTGTGGACATGATATATACAGAGTTTGGAAAAGCCAACATCAGAGTAGGAAAATGAGTTCAGAGACTTCTACAGAAATTGGGAGAAAGAGGATGATAACTTAGGGAAGTGACAGAGGGAAGGAAACTAAGGGGCCGATAGTAGATTCTGAATCATTTGCATTAGACAAACACTGGGCTTTAGGCCTCATGTTGTATTCCATTAAACGGTCAACTTATCAAAACAAATGTCACTTCATCCATAAAATATGGAGATTTACACAGATAATCTCTAAGGTCCACTTGAAAATGATTTATGGCAATAGCATCAAGATGCTGCAGGAACATAGAAATAATGCTTCACCCTGAGTTGAACTACGAAAAGTATATTAAGCAACTGAGGTTCAGTATTATAGGAACAAATCAAGGAATCATGGTGAAACTACTGAAAAGAGTGTGGTCTCCCCAACATTTTTTCCTTTACAATTCTTTATTATTTTAGGAAAACACGATGTCCCCTTGAACATATCTTTTTTTAAGTTAAAATGTCACTGATATACAATATCATAACGGTTTTGAATACTCAACACAGCGGTTCAACATTCACTCATATTACAAAGTCCTTATCCCCTCCAGTGCGGTCATTGTCCCTCAACATAGTAAGATGTTACAGAGTCATTAAGTGTATTCTCCATGCTGTACTACCATCCCCATGACCAGCCTATATTGTGCTTGAAAATTATTGTGCCCCTTTTCCCTCCTACTCCCACCCTCCCAAGCCCCTTCCCTCTGATAACTACTAGTCCTTTCTCAGAATCTATGAGTCTACTGGTGTTCTTTTCCTTTTCCTTCTGTTTTGCTTTGTTTTTACACTCCACAAATAAGTGAAATTATTTGGTATTTGTCTTTCTCCACCTGGCTTATTTCATTGAGCATAGTACCCTCTAGATACATCCATGTTGTTGTAAATGGGAGTATATTTTTCTTTTTATGGCTGAAAAATATTCCGTTGTGTATATGTACCACATCTTCTATATCCATTCATCTACTGATGGACACTTAGGTCAGTTCCATACCTTGGCTATTGTAAATAGTGCTGTGATAAACATAGGGGTGCATATGTCTTTTTGAATCTGGGATCTTGTTTTCTTTGGATAAATTCCTAGGAGTGGAATTAATTGGATCAAATGGTATTTCTCTTTTTAGTTATTTGAGGAACCTCCATATTGCTTTCCATAATGGTTGCACCAATTTGCATTCTCACCAACCGTGTAAGAGAGTTCCCCTTTCTCCACATCCTTGCCAGCATTTGTTTCTTGTCTTTTCAATAGTGGTCATCCTAACTGGTGTGAGATGATATCTAATTGTGGTTTTAATTTGTATTTCCCTGATGATTAGAAATGTGGAGCATCTTTTCATGAATCATTTCCACTGTCATTCGAATTTTTTCTTTGGAGAAGTGTCTGTTCAGGTCCTTTGTCCATTTTTTAATCAGGTTATTTGCTTTTAGGGT